GTTACCCAGGCTGGAGTGCAATGGCACGATCTCGGCTCACCGCAACCTCCGCCTCCTGGGTTCAAGCAATTCTCCTGCCTCAGCCTCCCGAGTAGCTGGGACTACAGGCGTGCGCCACCATGCCCAGCTAATTTTTGTATTTTTAGTAGAGGCGGGGTTTCACCATGTTAACCAGGATGGTCTCGATCTCCTGACCTCATGATCCACCCGCCTTGGCCTCCCAAAGTGCTGGGATTACAGGTGTGAGCCACCGTGCCCGGCCTCTTTTGTTTTAAACATTTGCTCAATACTAGGATGCACCTAGTGGTGAGAGTAAAGATCTTTGACTGATGACTCTTGAAGTGGACAGGGGGCGCTTTCAGCATTTTGCATAGTATTAAGCATAATATTTGATGCAGGTTTTTTTTGGTTGATGCAGGGGATCAAAGTTAGGAAGTTCTATCTGTTAATTTGGTACAGGTTTTTGTATAAAATGAAAAATTGTATTCAATCAATGTCTTTTCTGTAAATTATTGAGATAATTGTGTGTCATTTTTATCCTGTTAATGTGGCTTAGTACATTGATTTATTTCAATTTGTTATATCTACCACAAATTGCTGACCTATGTCATTACTTGTATGCAATACTGGATTTATTTTGCTAATATATTGTTTAGATTTTGTTTTCATCTATGTTAATGAAAGAAATTGGCCTGCATTTTTACATTCTTGTTATATCTTTGCCAGGTTCTATAAAATTCAGTAATAGGCAAATAAAATACCATGTTTTTGTATAAGTATGTATAGGATTGAGCTCTAAAACCAAACCATTATAATGATAATTTGGGTAGCTTCAAATTGAAGAGATTGTAACTCCAGTCTTTACGACAGTCTTCACTACAACCTTCAGCCTTTCTCTTTACATTTAAAAGTAGCAATAGAATAACAACGAAATATATCTTTTCAAATTAATTGAAATAATAATAAAAAGGTAGTGGGGAGAGAAAAATCATCCAATACATATTTTTCTCTCAGAATAGAAAGGAAATAAAGAGAAAATGTGATAATATAAAGCACTTACAGGAAGAGGATGATTTCCTCCAGCTTTTCCACACTCTATCCTTAGGAACAAACAGCTGGTGAGTGAGCTGCTGTGACTTTGGTAGAGAGGTGCAATATATTTCCTGAGCCAGGTATAAAAGAACTTATGAGGTACATGTGAAGGTAGAAACAAATATCAGGGAGGAGTATGGCACTGGCTGTCCCATACGGTATCCAAGAGCCACCAATGTCTATTGAGGACTTCACATACGACTAGTCCGAATTGAGATGTGCTCAAAGTATAAAATTTATGCCAGATTTTAAATACTCCTTCAAAAAATAATGTAAAATATCTCACTGATAACTTTTTCTTTGTGTATTACAATAATAATATTTTAGATCTATTGGATTAAAATATGTTATTCTGAAGCAGGAACGGCCTCAAGAAACAGACCTCTTGGGCACCGAACTAGGAAGGAAGAGATGTTTTATTTTGGCTGGGAGCGAGACGACCTGTTTGTCCAATAGCCAAGCTCTTTTAACAAAGAGAAGCTCTGCCTTTATGTAGGCTTACAATTCTAGATATTACACATGAAAGGGTCTTGGGTTTACAGTTTTAGAAATTACAGGTGAAAGGGTGTTGGTCGATGGAGGAGTGGGGTGGGGATTTGATCTTGTTTAAGTAAAAACAATGCCTTCTGGAGAGATTCCACCATACGATGCCTGCTATCTACAGGAAGGTGACTTAGGAGGCGCCAGTCGGCCAGCCTTTTCTTCTATTGAAATGCAGTGTGGAAGTCAAGAGAGAGGTGATCCTAGATGTTTGAGTCTCCTTCCTCAATTCATTTTACCCGTTTCATTTTACTTTAATGTGGGTAGTAGAAACTTTAAAATTACATATGTGGCTTATATTGTATTTCTATTGGACAAGCCTAGAGTAGATCCTAGAATGCAATTTCTGTCCCTAAGAGAGCCCTAGTGTAAAAGCCTATGGACTCGGGATACAGAGAAGGTTTCAAGGCACATATGTTTACCTCTATAATAACCTACCCTTTCACAGCTGCCCTGAGGCATCTTTATAGAAGGTAATGCCAGAGAATAGAAGATCTCAACATACCTAGAAGTGTAGAAACTTGCAAGATCATTGGAAGGGCTCATGGCTGGAGAATGATTCTGCCTACTCTGACTCCTGCCGTTGGTCCTTAGTCTATTGGGCACTTGAAGCTCCTTCAGGGTTGGAGGAAACACTGATTTGTTATCAAGCTTCAGCTTGGGTGTCTGTGGCAAGATGAAGTAGTGGAGGTAATAGTAAATGCTCAGTATTGATTTGTTCTAAGGCACAGTTTTATAATACTTGGGAGATCACATCTGTGGAAGCCCAAAGGCTGGATGCAAAGTCCTCATCCTGATCTCCATTTCAAATGGAAGAGATATAAAAGGAGATGGAGCAGGCAGACTCGGGCCCTTGGGGCTGGAGGAAGTTCAGGGAAGATAGATATCTGCCCAAGGACTTAACCCCTTCCCACTTGTTTTCCCATACAGTAAGTTCTAGGCAAACGAGTTAACAGAGCCCAGCTGTCCTCTACCTGTAGAGCTAAACCTAACTGAGGAAGGTTTTTTAAAGGTCTAGCTGTATGAGCTGTATGCAATCATGTGCAACCAAATTTCTTTGTTTGTTTTGAAGCCTACAGCACCTGGTATTCCCAGGCAGTCTCCCATCCAAGTACTAACCAGGCCTGATCCTGCTTAGCTTTTGAGACCGGGCGCATTCAGGGTGGTATGGCCATAGACTGTTTTTTTCCTTCCTGGAGAATGGGGACTTGCTATACCACCCAGGCAGGTCTCGAAGTCCTGGGCTCAAGCTATCCTCTCGCCTCTGCTTCCATAAGAGCTGGAATTATAGGCGTGAACCACAGTGCCTGGCATACAATGAAATTTCAAAAGAAAGAAAACTCAGATTTTAGTGGAAACTGCCTGGAACCCTAAGTAATCATTTTTAGCATTATAGAGGACTCAGGGTCTCAGCTTTTTTTCTGGAACTATGTTAATTGCATTCTACAGCCTAAAGTTTGTAAAAGAGAACAGTATTGTTTTAGTAAAGTTCTAAACATGTAGCATGGTTGTCCTATTTCCCAACAAGTGAGTCTTGTTAGAGCTGGCATTTAAGTTTGATTTTATCTTAAAAATAATTTTTGAGGGGAAGAGGACTTTTTTTTTAATTGTACTTTAGGTTCTGGGGTACGTGTGCAGATCATGCAGGACTGTTGTATAGGTACCTACATGAAAATGTGATTTGCTGCCTCCATCCCCCCTCCCCCGTCACCTATATCTGGCATTTCTCCCCATGTTTTCCCTCCCCAACCTCCCCACCTCCTGTTGTCCCTCCCCTAGCCCCTCTAATAGGCCCCAGTGTGTGATGTTCCCCTCCCTATGTCCATGTGTTCCCATTGTTCAACACCCACCTATGAGTGAGAACATGTGGTGTTTGATTTTTTGTTTTTGTGTCAGTTTGCTGAGAATAATGGTTTCCAGATTCATCCATGTCCCTACAAAGGACACAAACTCATTGGTTTTTTATGGCTGCATAGTATTCCGTGGTGTATATGTGCCACATTTAACATTATTATTGTGATATAATTGACATACAATAAATTTCATAAAGTATATAATTTGATACATTTTGACTTGTGAAACATCACCATCAAGGCAATAAATCTGATGGGGTTCTTTTTTGTAAATATATGACTTAGAGCTATAAATTTCCTTCTTTGGCTTTAATGGCATCTCACAAAATTTGGTATATTCTCCACTGTATTCAAGATTTTGTTTTCCCTTTTGATTTCTTCTTTGATCATTGAATTATTTAAAATCGTATTTTTTCCCAAATCTATGAAGATGTTCATATATGTTCTTGTTATTGATTTATAATTTAATTTTAAATGCTCCAGATATAGACTTTATCTGAATTGAATCCTTTTTAAATGTCTTGAGACATGTTTTACAGTAAAGGATATGATCTATGTTGGTAAATGTTTCATGTGCACTTGAAAGAAATGTGTATTCTGTTGTACTAGGGTACGATGTTTAATAAATATCATGTTGGTTGATATTATTCAAATCTTCTATATCCTTACTGATTTTCTACAAAAGAGATGGTTGTTGAAATTTCCAACTACATTTGTGGATTTGCCTATTTCTCCTTCAATTCTATCAGATTTTGCTTTTTGCTTTTTGAAGCTCTTTTGAAAGGCACATACACATTTAGGAATGTTACATTTTCTTGGTGAACTGACCCCTTTCTCATTATGGAATACCCTCTATCTCTACTAATATCTTTTTCTCCAAACTCTACTTTGTTAGATATTAATTTAGCCACTTCAGGTTTTTTTTGTTTTTTTTTTTTGTTTTTGTTTTTGTTTTTCCCTCTCTGTCATCCAGGCTGGAGTGCAGTAGCGCAATCTTAGCTCACTGGAATCTCTGCCTCGCGGGTTCAGGTGATTCTCCTGCCTCAGACTCCCGGGTAGCTGGGATTACAGGTGCCTGCCATCACATCTGGCTAATTTTGTATTTTAGTAAAGATGGGGTTTCA